GGCTTTCCCATTGGCCAGGGGGAGATGGCCCTCTCCCGCTGGGAATGTGGCAGAGTACCTCACATCCATTCCTTGGATGCTAAAGACTGTGGGAATGAGGGAGTCATCTAAAAAACAAACCTCAACACAAACAACAGTTAAATTGAAATGCTATGTGCCCAACACAGCGGTAGGCACATAGTAAGGCACTCGATTCACGTGTTCAATTGAATGGCAAATATATCCCTTAGGAAAAACACAAAACAAAACCGCGAAAGCCCTAGCCGGGTTAGTCTAGGTAGATTTCCACAATATGCAAAGTGGTGGTCGGGTCAAAACAATGACACCAGCACTTTAAACTATTTGTGTAGGTATGCATGGGTGTATGTTTGAGAAGAAAAACAAAGGTGCAGATCATCCTCCCTTTTCTTCTGCCTCCATCCCCACCCCCGTCGTCCCCTCATACACACACTGGACTTGGTCCGAGATGAAGCATTGGGGGGGTGGGGGGGGGAAGGGGGAGCTTTGTGTCAAGTGCCTACTGGAAATGCACTGTGGGGTGTTTTCCTGTATGGGAAACCATTTATGCCAAGCTTTTCCCCATTTCCCATATTTATCTCATCTGGTTAGCTGCCTCCGCTTCCAGCTTTGTGTAATTCTCTTTGCCAGCTGCACAAAAGCTGATTTTTTCCCAAAGTCTAAAGACTGAGCTCACCTGACTAGGTGTTTGTGTGTTTGGTTGAATTTCTCGTTAAACCTTTTCGTAACGTGATGCCGTATTTATTGTTTTAAAAATGAAAGGAGTCCTAATAAGTCTTGCAAGTTCCTTCATGCATAAGGTTTTCCCAGTTAATGGGCTTAACTGGTGTACGTTAATTAGACGTCCATACTGTATTCTGTTTGCATTATTAGTCATTTTATTTTTTACATAGTATCTGGCACACAAAGTGGGTTAGTACTACAGTATTTGTGTTACTTTAAGTACTGAGTATGCAGGTTTCCTGGTACCATTGAGTTGCTGCTATTAAAGCTCACACATGAAATGGCTAAAAGTTACACGTGTGCGTATTATGACTGCGTGAGCCTTAGAAAGTAAACTGTATAAAGAGCAACACATGAGCTGTCAAACAGTGTTAGGTGTGTGTTTATATGTACAGATCTGTGCGTAGCAATCGTTTTATTTAAGTTGATACGCAGCCTACTCATATTTTCATTATCTAGCAATTTTGTACAAAAATAGCAATTAATTTGTAAACACTGCCAGAATATTTTCTAGCTGGTTTGTAATTTTTTAAGAGTGTTGTTTTGTTTTTGTTGTTGTTGTTGTTGCGTTCTTGTGTTCATTTCTGTTGTAAGTGTAGATCTGTAAATACAATTGCAGTATTTAAAGCTTCAGCTTTCAGGACAAAGAAAAGTAAGAACTCAGCGTGTGCATGACAACTCGTGTGTACAAGAGGAGGGATTTGAAGGAAGATGCCTTGCAGAGTGAGTCGGGTGGCAACTGTCAGATTGTGGGAATTTCTTTTCCTATGGGGTACGTGATTTTGTCAAAAGTAAGTATTTCTCCCAAAATTGGGAGCAGGCAAACTACTAATCAGTTTAGCTTTGTGTTGTAGCTATAGTTAAAAGGAGAAAATATGTAATATAATGTAAAAAAAAAAAAGCTTTTATGATGGATTTTGTAAATAGATTTGTTACAGGGTAACCTGTTCTCTAGCTGTGATCTTACCACTTCAAATGGGTGTAATTTGAATAAATTTTGTATGGTAAAGGATCAATAAAATGATTTTTTTTTAAAGAGCTTAGACTTGTGGATGGATTTTCTTACTATTGTCTTATGCTCCTACATTAATTTTATTTTTAAAGACACGCTTAGCAAGTTAAGGGGAACGTTTGAACAAAAACTCAAAACATCGTATGTCTTACCATTTAGTTGGGATTTGAGGAACATTAAGCAAAAAATTTTTTGAGCACCTGTGTTATGCTTGCCACTCTGGGAAGCAGAAGAACTTGCCACGTCTCTGATCACTTGGCAGAAACCACTACCAGGTATGGAGGATTTTTACACTGAGAAAGTGACAAGTCAAGTCTTATTTCTCATAAGGAGTATGAAGCCAGTAGATTCTATTTCTCAAGATTGGTAATTACCTTCCTCGTTCTAGATTCTGTATTTCTTATAATGCCACCTGTGAACAACTTCGGATTTTTTTTGACTGCTATGTCACTCCTAACTCAGAGCTCATCATGTAAAAGCTTCAAAATGTATATCGTATACACACACAGACACACAATCAATACACAAGAGTTAATGTACAAAAAAGAAACATCCCCTGCCGCCCTCCCCCGCCCCCATCTATTCACCCCAGAGGTAACCACTATTTTCATTTTTCCTGTGTGTATCCTTCTGGTCTAGGTGTTTTCTAGGCATATATAAACACGTGTTTATATACAGTTTTTAACATAAATTGTACTTAATACATATATGTTGATGTTTAGCTTTTTTTTTTTCCCCACTAAATAGCATCTTGGACATCTTTCCATGTTTGTACTTAGAGATTATGTTCATTCCCTTCAAAGGCTGCATAGCGTTCCAGTGATTAAAATTTTATTTAATAATTTATTTACCTAATTTCCTGTTTGAAGATATTTTTGAAATAGAAAATATGTTTTATTGAATGCTTATACTATGCCAGGTACTATTTTTTTTAATATGGTAAAATACACATAGCATAAAATTTACCATTAGTGACATTTAATACATGCACCATGTTGTGCAATGATCACCGCTCTGGTTCCAGAACATTTTCATCATCCAAAAAGGAAACCGCACGCCCATTAAGCAGCCACCCCCCCATCCTCTTCTAGTCCCAGCCCCTGACAACCACTAATCCGTTTTCTGTCCCTATGGATTTGCCTGTTTTGGTTATTTCCTATAAATGGAATCATACAATATGTGACCTTTCTGCTTTTTTTCCACTTAGCATTATGTCCTCAAGGTTCATTCATGTGGAAGCACGTATCAGTACCTCCTTCCTTTTTATGCCTGAATAATAACCCGTTGCATGGATATACCACATTTCCATTATCTGTCCATCAGCTGATAGACATTTGGGTTGTTTCCACTTTTTGGCTACTGGAATGCCAGGTACTATTTTAAGTGCTTCATGTGAGTGCTCTGTGGTTTTTCACGGCACCCATCACTAGCTAATCCTATATACGTTATCGCTCCTCTTCTAGAATGTGAGCTCAATGAGGAGAGGTACTTTGTATTACTCACTGTTGTGCCCCCAGTCCCTAAAATAGTGCCTGGCACATAATAAGCACCTAATACATATCTAAATGAATTATTTGTATTTAGCAGATGAGTCTGAGGTTTAAGAATGTTAATTAAAAGGCAACACAGTGATATAATGAGCTCAAAGGCTTTCTCACCTCATTTTGTACCTTATACGGGACTTTTTTTTTTCACATTTTTGCGTTTTATTTTTAGTTCTGCTTGGAGTCCTGTTTTCCCAGAGTTGGAGCACCTGACTTCTGTCATCCAGCATAGCCGCTGTCATATCCAGGGGTGTGCATCTTTGGTCAGCAGGTATTCTATAGTCAAGCCAGTGATGGAAGTTGAACAAAGTGATACAAAAATGGATCCCTTCTTCCGGGTAGACTACTGAAGGTGGGGGGGTGGGGGTAGGAGCTAGCAAATAAAACAAGAATTGTCCATACACAGTTGAAAAATGTAGAGAAGATGAATTTGAATCAATTGTGTAGAGCTGCATCTTTTCAAAAGGTGAATATATGACTAGGATGTGTAAACAGTTTATAATTCAGAAACTTACCTGAGTATTGTTTTAAAATGGGCTCACTCTACTCTGGGGAGAATTTAGAAATCAGTCTGTAATATTGAAATAGAAAATAAAACCATTATTAAAAAGTTAATTGTATTCACTCATTTAATGTCCATTAAGAGAAATATCAATAGTTATTCATTTATTCGGTCACTCTTTGAATGAGCATAAAGTGATTACTATATGCCAGACACTGTTGTAGGTGCTGGAGCGCAAATGGAAAAAGACATAGATCCTGTTAGCAAGAGGAAGCTTATAGTCTAGTGGGGAGAGGAACGAGTTTTAGCTAGGAGAAGTAAGTTCTGAGGGCCAGGTCTTAAGTGATTTTTCCTTCCAAAGCCACATTTGGAAGACTTGGAAGGATAGATGGTTAGAGGCAGAAATGGAAATGAAGGTGTAGACTTTCTGCTGGAGAGCTTTACAAAGCAGGAAAGCTTCTGATCCAGGATGCAGGAGGGCTTTTGCAGAAGACTGCCCAGGTAGGCACAACTCAAACGTGAATAAGCCAATGGATTCATTTTCTAGGATCTAGGGAGCTGGGGAGCCTCAATCCAATCTCGACTACAACCCGGATACCGTGAAGGAAAATGACGAGATTAAATGGTAGGTCATGCCTTGGGATAAGAATGAGAATCCCTGCCCTGGCTACTTAGAATTAATCAGCTAGGAGTCAATCAGAAGTTAAAAGAAATACCATTGCGGTGCGTGGGCTTCTCATTGCAATGGTATTTCTACTCATCCCCATGTTTCATGGGTGGATGCTATCATTATTCTCTGTGTCTCTGTGCACAGTAACAAATTGGGAGAGATGGAAACCATTGGAAGGCCAAGTTGGAGGACTTCTCAGTGGTTCTTTTGTCCTCAGTCTTTGATAAAAATGGATTTGCTCTGTTTAAACAGAGGAAGAATCAAATTGGCAACAGCTCCTAAATAGGATGTTCCGTCTCTGCCTTGAAAGACTCAGACCTCTCTTCCTGTACAGGCTACTTTTCAGCTTTAGAAGCCTTTAAGACAGTTTTTCTGCATCATCAAATTCAGGGGCAGTTGCCTCAGCTGAAGCCTAAACTATACTGTCTCTCTCTCATCCTTGAACAGCCCTTAGCATTGTACAAGGCTTTACAGTTTACAAAGTATTTTTGTTTGCCTTGCCTCTGCATCTAAAGCCATCTGTAACTGATGGCAACAGCTGCAGAAGTAGCTAATCAATTGAAAAATGACAAACAGTATGTGGGCAGTGATATAAACAAAGGATGAAAAGCATTTAGCTTTAAGCCATACTCTGGAGACCAAGGAGCAAGAAAGAACACTGAAATTCTACAGGAGAGACCTGAAATAATGACATCAGTAAATAAAAATTAAACCATGTCAATAAAGAGAGCATGTTTAAATGGGTTAGAGATGGGAATAGAGGTTGTATGTGCTTAGAAATGGGAGGAGACAGAACAAGACCCAAGATGCTTGAAAAGAGCCACAGCTAAATCCTATCCTGGGCAAGAAACCAAAGAACGGCTGTTCCTTTCATCAAAGAGAAGGTACCATCACCATTGATTCAAAGTTTGGTTATCTATCAAGGGAATAAAGTGGGTGCTAAAGACAGGGGCAGGCATAGGGGTGTAATGAAGGAAAGGAGACAATAGAAAGTGTGGAAATAATTCCCTTACCTGGTCCTGGGAAGGAGATAAACCAGCAACTGGGGGGAAAAATTAGTTATAAGTGAAGAAGAAAGAATTAGATAAGACTCCAGCTCTGGCAATACGGCTGATTAGATGGCCAGGAAACCCTCTTGTTACAAAAAACCTAGATTGCACAGAGAAAAAAAAAACTTTTTAATCTTTATTGTATTCCTGAGATTACAGGGAATTCCTGAGGGCCAGAAGAATAAAAAAGAAAACTGAGCTGAAAAGAAAGGTTGAAGAGCCTGTAAATGGGAAAGACAGGTAAACCTTAGGTTGAAACCAATTTCATTTCTAATACTGTTACCGGAATTGAGAAAAAAAAGTCTTAGGCCAAAAAAGAAAGAATGAAATACTGAACCTAAGACTCAGATTAAACCAGAGAAACTGGAAGAAGGTGCTAGTGCTCCAGGTCAGAGTCATCTGGCGTTCAGCAGAGCAAACATATATCCTTTCTGGACAAGACCTCCTTAACGTAGGACCACAGACTGTAACTACCAAATACAAGATCACAGTCACAGATCAACAAATATATAAAGAAACAAACCAGCATTAATAGCAGAAGCAGGAAACATCAGATTTAGACCTCAAAGAATTCAAATAATGGAACTATCAGATACAGTATATAAAATAAATACATATGAAATGCTTAAAGAAATAAAAGATGGTAACACAAAACGAGTGGTCAAGAAGAGATGATCAAAACCTGCTGCACAGATTAGAAACAGAATAAAATAAAATGTTAGAAATTAAAAATAAAATTGTTGAAGAAAAGAAAAAAATGATGGCTAAACCAGCAGATTAGATACAGCTAAAAAGATCATAATAAACTGGTGTGGTAAATCTGACAAAATTACACAGAATGTAGCACAGAAAGAAAAGGAGATGGAAAATACAAATAAATTTTAAGAAAGAGGGAGCAGGGACTGAAAAAATAATTTTTTTCTGTAAAAAATCCAGATAATAAATATTTTAGTCATTGTGGCCATAAGGTCTCTGTCAAAACTATATACTTAACTCTGCCCCTGTAGTGTGAAAGCAGCCATAACCACTCAGCAAATAAATGAGCGTGTCTGTGTTCCAATAAAAATTATGGATGCTAAAATTTGTTTTTCATGTAATTTTCACTTGTCATGAAATAATATTCTTCTTTTGACTTTCCCCAACCATTTTAAGAGTAAAAATTGTTCTTTAGCTCACAGGTGGTACAAAAAGAGGTGGTGAGCAGTTTCTGGTCCAACATGTGGAGGGTGGAAGCTGTCACGCCTGTCCTCACAACAAAGAAAAAAGCTGAACAATCTGAAAATCAACAACTCTCCTTAGATCTATGAGAGAATTGAGGTCCAGGACAAACTACCACCCTGAAAACTGGAGAAACGGCAAATCCAGAGAACCAGAGCTACCCAGAGCAGAAACGGCCACTGGAACCAGCAACTGGTATGAAAACCTCAAGGGTAACTGACTAGTTATTGGGGTCTGGGTGTAGACTAGCTTGAGAAATGGAATCTCCGGAGGACCCATTCTTAGGATTCCTCACACCTTCACTAGTTTTCCCTCCAGGTGGGAAATAGGGAAACAGAGATGGGGAGCAAGGATTGGATTTTTTTTTTTTTTTCTGTAAAGAGCCAGATAATAAATGTTTTAGGCATTGTGGGCCATCAGGAGAAGGACCTCAGGGTGAAGATCTGAGAAAATCTCCCTCATGTTTCTGGTAGGGGGAGGGGCAAGTAACTATTTTGAAATATGCTCAGACCATTCTGTTCTACTTAATAAAGGCCTGTCTTCAAGGAAAACCATTTTGCCAGAGCCTACCCCATGTGGATTTTGCCAGAGTCTTCCTGATGTGGGGAAAAGGAAATACCCAATTCCAGCCCTTTCTAGCCTTCCTGTCCCATCTAAGGGGGGAAAAAAAAGCTGAGAAGCTTGTAAAGGTCACAGCCAGAGGCAATAAAAGACTGAGATCTAATCATGGGATTACAGAACGCTTACCATTGTCCACACCTTACCACCACATTAATAGGGCTGTGTATAATCATAGGGGACTACAGTGGAAAGAAATGCAAGCCTCAGACTCTTTTTAAAAAGAAGTTTCTAGAGCTTCCCTGGTGGCACAGTGGTTGAGAGTCCGCCTGCCGGTGCAGGGGATACGGGTTCGTGCCCCAGTCTGGGAAGATCCCATGTGCCGCGGAGTGGCTGGGCCCGTGAGCCGTGGCCGCTGAGCCTGCGTGTCTGGAGCCTGTGCTCTGCAACGGGAGAGGCCGCAACAGTGAGGGGCCCGCGTACCGCAAAAAAAAATAATAATAATAAATAAAATAAAAAGGAGTTTCTAGTAAAACCCAAAGACAACAGGAAAGGCAAAACAATGACACTAGAGAAAATTTTAGCCACTGACACAACAGCTACAGCAAATAGTACACACAGCCTACCTCCTAGCCAGATAAACTTAAACCTCACACTAAAGGGCTATCTACCATAGTTCCTTTTACCCAATATATAATGTCTGAATTCTAGCCAGAAATTACAAAGCTGGGAATTCCCTGGCGGTCCAGTGGTTAGGACTTGGCACTTTTGCTGTGGGGGCCTGGGTTTGATCCCTGGTTGGGGAACTAAGGTCCTGAGTGCTGCGAGGTGCAGCCAAAGAAAAGAAAGAAAGAAAGAAAGAAATTACAAGGCACACTAAAAGGCAAAAACAAAGTGAGGAGACAAAGCAAGCAACAGAACCGGACTCAGGTATGGTAGAGGTTTGAGAACTATGAGACTCAGAATTTAAAATAACTGTGATGAAGATACTAAGGGCTCTAATGGAAAAAGTTGACTTCCTGCAAGAATAGATGGGCAACGTAGGCAGACAGGTGGAACACTCTAAGAGAGAATCAAAAGGAAAATACTAGAACTTAAAAACACAGAAACAGAAATGAAGACCATCTTTGATGGACTCATTAGTAGATTGGACATGGCCAAGGAAAGAATCAATAAGCTTGAAGATATGTCACTAGAAACTTCCTAAACTGAAAAACAAAGAGAAAAGAGAATGAAAAAAATAACAGACTATCCTAGAACAGTGGGGAAATTACAAAAGGTGTAATATGCACTTAATGGGAATACCAGAAGGAGAAGAAAGAAAGAATGAAACAGAAAAAAAACGTTTACATAATAATGGCTGAGAATTTTCCAAAAGTAATGACAAACACCAAAACACAGATCCAGGAAGCTCACCAGAAACCAAGGAGGATAAAAGGTCTAGAACTAGGCATATCATATTCAAACTGCAGAAAGTCAAAGACAAAGAAGAAACCTTGAAAGAAGCTAGGGGTGGGGAGGACACCTTATCTATAAAGGAGCAAGGATAAGGATTACATTGGACTTCTCAGAAAAACCACGTAAGCAAGATGAGAGTGGAGTGAAATATTTAAAGTGCTAAAAGAAAAAAAAAAGACCAATCTATAATTCTATATCCAGAGAAATTATCCTTCAAAAATCAAAGAGAAATAAAAACTTTCTCAGAAAAAATAAACATTAAGGGGATTTGTTTCCAGCAGACCTGCCTTGCAAGATATGTTAAAACAAGTTATTCAGAGAGATGGAACATGACAGAGGTCAGAAACTCAGATCTACCTAAAGAAAGGGGATTTGTTAGAGAAGTAACAAATGAAGGTAAAATAAAATATTTTATTTTTCTTACTCATAACTGAGCTAACAGAAAATATATTGTTTATTCAAAATAACAATGGCAACAATATGTTAGATGATCATAGCTTATGGATAAGTGAAATGAATGACAGAAATGTTATAAGGCATGGAAGAGAGGAATTGAGATACTGTTAGGAGATACCTGTACTACATGTGAAGCAGAATAGTGCTACTTGAAAATGGACTCAGATTACTGAAAATTCTATGGCAACAACTAAGAATTTTTTTAAAGTATAATTGATATGTAAGAGAGGAGAAAAATAGAATCTTACAGAATACTCACTTAAAACCAGAGAAGAGAGAAAAAAAGTGGAAGACAAAAAAAGGGGGGGCAACAAATAGACAACAGTAACAAATACGGTAGATATTGATCCAACTGTTTTCAATAATCACTTTAAATATCAATGGTGTAAATATACCAGTTGAAAGCAGAAACTGTCAGAGTGAAATAAAAAATAGGAGCCAACTGTGTTATTTATAAGAAATCCACTTTAAATATAAAGACAGCTAGAGTAAAAGTAAAGGAATGGAGATATACCATGCAAATACTAACCAAAACAAAGTGGAGTCGCTATATTAATTTCAGACAGAGCAATACCATTTGCATTAGTGCCAAAAAAAGCAAACACTTAGGCATAAACCTAATAAAATATGTGTGAGATCTACATGAGGAAAACTATGAAGCTCTGATGAAAGAAATCAAAGATCTGTATAAATGGAAAGCTATTTCATGTCCATAGATAGGAAGACTAAAAATTGTTAAGATATCAGTTCTCTCCAATTTGACCTACAGATTCAACCCAGTCCTAATTAAAATCCCAGCAAGTTATTTTGTGGATATCAACAAAGAGATTGTAAATTTTATATGGAAAGGAAAAATCCCCAGCACAGCCAACATAAAACTGAAGAACAAAGTTGGAAGACACTACCCAACTTGAAGACTTACTACAAAGCTATAGTGACCAAGTCAGTATGACACTGGTAAAAGAATAGACAAATTGACCTGTGGAACAGAAAAGAGTCCAGAAATAGACCCACAAAAATATAGTCAACTGATCGTTGAGAAAGTAACAAAGACAATTCGATGGAGAAAGGATAGTCTTTTCAACAAATGGTGCTAGAACAATTGGACGTCCACATGCAAAAAAAAAAAGAATCTAGACACAGCCTTTACCTCTCTCACAAAAATTAACTCCAAATTAATTATAGGTCTAAATGTAAAACACAAATCCATAAAACTTCTACAAGATAGAAGAGAAGAAAATCTAGGTCCCCTTTGGTTTGGTGATGACTTTGAGATACAACACCAAAAGCGTGATCTGTGAAAACAATATTGATAAGTTGGACACAGTTTGATATAATGGTACTGGTGCCTTATTCTTAAAATTATGTAGTGAATTCACAGGTACTCATTTTATTATTAAGCATCAAAACTTACATTCATGCTGCACATAATTTTTTTTTAAATGACTTTATTTATTTAGTTATTTATTTATTTCTGCATTGGGTCTTTGTTGCTGCACACAGGCTTTCTCTAGTTGCAGTGAGTGGGGGCTACTCTTTATTGTGGTGTGCGGGCTTCTCAGAGCAGTGGCTTCTCTTGTTGCAGAGCACAGGCTCTAGGCGCGTGAGCTTCAGTAGTTGTGGCACACGGGCTCAATAGTTGTGTCTCGCAGGCTCCAGAGCAAAGGCTCAGTAGTTGTGGCGCACAAGCTTAGTTGCTCCATGGCATGGTGGGATCTTCCCAGACCAGGGCTCGAACCCGTGTCCCCTGCATTGGCTGGCAGATTCTTAACTACTGCGCCACGAGGGAAGTCCATGCACATAATATTTTTGTATGTAAAATTATTACACAATTTTTTTTTTAATTTTGAGGTTGGGCCTCAAAATGTCAGAAGGATAAAGGTAAGGGATTGGCAACTGTGACAACCAACTGGTCTTTAGAGTACCAAATGTGATAGATCATTACCTGACATATAGCTGACACACCATAGATTGAGCTCATCTTTTATTTCTGTGCTGTGCACTGCAATAAAGCCTTCTGACAGTTACATACAAATAGGGAATTGGGCAGAATTAAGAGAAAGGCAACGCTTTACAATTCATTATTTTTTTTAAAAAAGCCAAGAGTTAAATCAGAAACAGAATATTTAGAAGAGAAGCAAGGAGACAGAAAAAACTAGAATTTTACCTCAGCAGGACTATGGCGTGCTTTGCTTAGCCCTTCTTTAAAGTGCTGATGTGTACAGAGTGCCAGGAACTGCCCTTTATAGAAACTGCTTTTCCTCCAGGCCCCTTGTCCAGCTGAGTTCAGTTACCTTCTCAAAGGCCCCAGCCACAACTTGCTTGTGGATAGGTGCCAACAGGGTAGAGGCCGGTGAGCACAGGTAGAGGCCGGTGAGAGCAGGCAGAGCTGAGGGGCAGGAAGCACCACTGATACTGTGTTGTGTGCCCGCCCCTTTCATAGTAATTTCATGAAAACAGTAGGCAAAAAAACAGAGTAAGAAAGGCTCTCTGAGCCACTCTTGCTGATTTACTCTTTCTTGCCTTTCTCACCTCCAAATTCCACAGCTTCTATCGTATCATCTTTGCTTTCCCTTACTTCTTTCCTCCCTCGGGCCCGCTGTTTGTCAGGCCATCACAATCAGTGTGAACTTGACTTCGATGCACCTGCCCAGCATTGACCTCCTACCCCTAAGCCCAAATCCCCTCCTGCCACCTAGGGCTTGTATTTGGCATCTTAGACCTTACTATTCCAATTCTGGCTATCACAGCATGCATTAGTGGAAGAGCAGAGACAATCAAACAATATTGTATTCATTATTTTCTGGAAATAACCATTCAACTCAGTTTACAATCTTCTTTGGGCCTCTCCTCTTTTCTTTTTTCCCCATTTATTGTACTTTGGGGGAAATGCTACATAATCTATACATACTCTTTTCATCCTTTGTTTAGCTTTTTTTGTTTTTTTGCTTTCAAAAGAGATTTTTATTTATTATCAACATTTGGCTTGATACATGAAGGTCTAGAAGAAACCAAAAGTTATTTTTGACTTTTCATTTCAGTGATTACCTTTCAAAAATCAGAAACCCTACTATAATTGAGTAAAGCCTTAAAGCAGGTTAAGATACAGGTGTGTGGATTTCTTCACTAAGGTCTCACGTTTCCTCCCAAGCAGTCAACCAATATTCATCATTAAGCCCCAATTCCCTAGCCATCTCTCACATGTTCAATGTGGCCCCTTATACACACAAGTCCAGTGCAACCAATCCACACATAACACACACACCAAGTCTCCAAGTCAGCCACAATGCACAACACCCTCTCAACATTCATCTCGTTGCTAATCAAGGGCCATTCTTCTTAACACTGCCTACTATCTCTTTTTCCATTTCTCCCACAATACTCACTGCTCAAAACAACAAAAGAAACAAGTTACTTTTCCCTAACCTCAGACGAAACAGCTTCTTTAACTCTATTCCATCCTAGCCCTCGCCCCCGCTTATCCTGTACCCTGCCTTTATTATTCAGAAAGCACAGGGCCTCGTAAAATCTCACTCACCTCATGCTATACGTACCAGCACCAGCTACTGATGAACCCAGGGCAGAAGAGCATCAAAGTCCTGCACCGGCCGTATTCAGTCACCTCATTCACCAGAGTCAGCTGCAGAGCCCAGGCCATCCTGGCTCCTTCCATACCCCCCGAGACAGCGTTTCTTGTACAAAGGCAAGTACTGTGATTCTACCCAATGGGACCAAGACTAGAAAACTGTAAACCAAGATCTCCCACGCAGTACCCACCAGCCAGCCACCCCGAGGCCGACCCTCACTGCCTGCACCCTTGGGTCCTTGCTCTTGGCTGCCCTGACTTCCAAAATCCGTCTCCCCAGTTCTCCGCAGCCGCGCGACGCCCCTTTGGCTTAAGTCTTCCCGACCGCCCGGAAGCCCTCCGGGCTCCCCGCATATCCCACTCGCTGGGCTCCCCGCTTGACATCGTGGTGGTCACTCGCTGCTTTCCAAACAGACCAGGGAAGCGACCCGCCGCCTACGCGGCGCTCCCAGGCCGCTTTCGCACCTTTCCCTGCCCCCTTCTGCTGGAAGCACCCTCCCTCCCGGGTCCGTTCTCCTGCTCCCCTCCAGGCCTTGCTTCCGGTCATCCCAAGATCACTTCCGGTCGCCCTTTCTCAACCCCGCGGCTCTTAAGTGAAATCCAGGTTTCCGCTGAGCTGACTCCCCGCCCTTTGCAGCGCCCCACGGCCTGGGAACAAGGATGGGGAAAGTTCAGCTCTGGCTTGAAACCCAGACTCGCCAGGCTCCTTCAATGCCCCAGCTGTTTAGCTTCAAAAAATTACAAAGGTATTCTCTTCCTGGTGAAATCACCAGTTTTGTCTTCTTATATTTCTTTTGGCGATTATTTGACATAACTGAAATAGATAGTACTAACGCTATGTCATTTATGAAAGCTTCTGTTTTAGGATGACTGTTTGTCTTACCAGGGCAAGAAGGTAACATGACAATAGAAAAGGAAATGGAGACCACTCTGGCCTCTTCCCTCTTCTAAGTGGTCTGTACCACTTAGAGCTGCCATGCTCAGGACTGCTTGAGGGATACTGAATGAACATCACATAGAAAGCCTCAACTCTTGGGACTTCCCTGGCGGTCCAGTGGTTAAGACTTCACCTTCCAGTGTGGGGTGGGGAGTGGGGTGAAGGTTCGATCCCCGCACCTTCCAGTGCAGGGGGGTGAAGGTTCGATCCCTGGTTGGGGAGCTAAGGCCCCACATGCTTTGCAGCCAAAAAAACCAAAACATAAAACAGAAGCAATATTGTAACAAATTCAGTAAAGACTTTAAAAAAATGGTTCACATCAAAAAATTTTAAAAAGAAAGAAAGCCTCAACTCTTAGCATTAAGGACATAATAAAGTTCCTATTGCTTCAGTTATCAAAAATATAGTGGTTTCAATGTAACCTCCCAAACTTAATTATATAGCGGTGTAATTAAGGAGACTTTCCAGATGGTTCAGGAAAATTCTAACATCAGCCATGGTTATTGAACAGATTCAGCTATAATTCCCTTCTCTTGGTTCTCGATCTCAGCAACTCTCTTACTTTTACCTCACTTTTTAGCTCTAGCACCACTAAACAAAGGGCTTCTTCTAGAAATCAACATATTTGTAGATCTGAGACAGTCTACATTTTAAAATGATTGGAGAAGAGTAGTTTAAGCTGGTTTAAAAAAAAAAATGCCTGGAGGTGTTTTGACAACACTTTGCAGTGTTGAGCACTTGGCTTTCATTATGCTGTGAGTGGTAAGAGATTGATGATAAGTGCTGAGTTTCTTTTGAAACTGTAAACAGGAAGGCCGGAATGGACGAGATGTGGGAATCAGATCATACGATGACTTTTATAAAAGAGTGGTCTGTGTATATATATACATATACACATCCTATGGGTTCTGTTTTCTGGAGAACTCGACTAACGTAGCATCTGTGTAGTAGAAATCATGTCTGTGCTTCCTCCAATATCAAACCATAGGGTCACAGGTGGTTCCTGTGATTATTAGTACGTGACCCCTCATTTGCTAGACTCAGCTGGCTGAATGCAGTCTCTTCTCCAGGAATTGGAATTGGGGTTAAGAGGAATTCATGTTTATTTCTTGAATGGAAGAGATGTAACCACTCAGAAGTGTTGTGTAGCCATCTTCTACATGAATTGAGTAGCAGAGGAAGCCATGGCAATTAAAGAAAAAGGAACTCCAAGTGTTAAGAGAAACGAAGATAAGAGACAGAGAGCAGTGAGCTCCACATGCTTCCTGGAGCCAGCAGCACTCTGGCCCTGAAATTCTCCTTGTAATAAATTCTTCATTGCTTAATTGGGCTTCAGTTTGTTTGTATTACTTGCAACCAGAAGATCTTAACTAATATAGTAACCTAGCATGTCAGACAGTTTGTCAGCCACTAGGGATATAGAGATTTAAAAAAAAAAAAATGGTATGGTTCTCATCCCACCACTGCACAACTCCCCACCAAAAAACAAGTCCCTTCCTGCATGGAACCTCCAGTACCCAGGGGAGAGGTACACACGTAAGCAGATAAAGTCTACACGGTATAGTAAGTGAGGAGATACTTTGTGTTACCAGATTTAGAAAACAAAAACAAAAGCAGGAATGCCTGGTGAAATTTGAACTTCAGATAAACAATGAACACATTTTAGTGTAAGTGTTTCCCAGATATTTTATCCGGCAACCTCAGAGGTAGACCGTTAGAGAAGGGGGGTGCTTAACCCAAACTAGGGTGTCTCAGAAATCTTGTTTTATTTATTTATTTACCTACCTGGTTACTTCTTTTCTGGAGAAAGAATGCTTGGGTTGAGTTTGGAAGGATATGTAGGAGTTCACCAGGGGAAGAAAGGCAGGAAGAGTATTTGAGTGAGAAAGAAAAACAAGAGGACTAAAGGCACAGAAGCATGACACAGCAGTGTACGAGAAGGGAACTCAAGCATTTTGGCATCACCAGAGCTCACCAGTACAGGCAGTGAGATTTAAAATGTCAGGAAATGTTTAGGGATTCAGATGGTACGCTAACACGATGATTTTCCATCCCATGCATACGCCTATTGGAATGTCAGGAAAGATATTTTAAAAACAGTAATTCATAATGACACTAGAAATGTAGAAGGGCTGTAGGCAGCAGATAAAAGAGTTGAGGAATTCCTGGAAAACAGAACATTTATAGCATCACATTAGCAAAGCAACAAAATGGAGAAGCCGTAGCCAAAACACAAAGAGGAGAAAGTCACTTCAGTGACATTTCAAGGGTGAGAATGGATTTTCCTAGGGAAACCCCAAGTTTGTTGTCCATAAATAGAAAAATAGAGCCTGGACACATCATAATGACAATTACTGAAAGATCTGACTTGGGACAGCAGTATCTGTTGGATCTCCCTCCCCTCCCTATATTCTAGCAAAGTTTGTTCCCAGAATAAAGGCCTGAGAATGTTTTTCTCAAAGCATGGCAAGGAAGGGTTAGGGTTAGAGTTAGAATTATCATGCTATTTGGGTCAGAGAGCAAAGCAAGAAGGCGCCAGAGGTAACTCTAGACTTTGGCCAAGACTATAGAGGGTGAAAGATTCCAAATTAAGGTCATGAGCACGGCTCTCTAAAGAGAGAATTGTATTTCAAAAGATAGGTAGAAGGCACCAGGTAAGAGGAAGGTATCTCCAAAACCACAAGTCACCCTCAATCTCTCTCTCTCTCTCTTTGCATATAAACAAATACATACATACATGCATATATATTATGTATGTATTATCTTTCTAAACGACAAATACTCCTTCATAACAAAACTTTTTAAAGTATGCAAAGCCATGGTTTTGCAAAATATCAAAGGTGTCTGACTTTAATAGTATTGCATCTGTCTGGATACTCAGTTGATGGACCAATCATGCTTAAATGTGTAAAAAAAATCTGTAATTCATAAATGATTATGTATTTATCCCATAACATTTCTTTTTCTTGACCATTTCAGATTATAATCAATATTTTCACATAATTTTTGTTCTATTGACAGTTATTATCTGAGGGGTTAAAAATAAAATATAATTATATTTGAAATGTACAAAATTTCAATTATTTTAATGAAAATGTGTAAATTAAAGTAAATATGAAAATTAATTTTTATATAAGGTTTCAAATGTTATTTTTTCTTCTTTTTTTATTAGTTTTAAAATTTCTGTTTGGCTGTGTTGGGTCTTCATTGCTGCACGTGGGCTTTCTTCTAGTCGCGGTGAGCGGGGGCTGCTCTTCGTTGCTCTACGTGGGCTTCTCATTGTGGTGGCTTCTCTTGCTGTGGAACACAGGCTCTAGGCGCACGGGCTGCAGTAGTTGTGACGCGCGGGCTCAGTAGTTGTGCCTAATGGGTTCTAGAGCACAGGATCACTAGCTGTGGCGCACGGGCTTAGTTGCCCCGCGGCATGTGGGATCTTCCCAGACCAGGGCTCGAACCCGTGTCCCCTGCATTGGCAGGCAGATTCTTAACCACTGTGCCACCAGGGAAGCCCAAATGTTATTTTTTTCTAAAATGTTTTAAATTATTAAAATTAAATGACAAACTACAAATTAAAGTTAATGAATATTGAATTTTAAAATCAAATTATTTTTAAAGCTGAAATTTAAATATAATTTTTAAAATTTATTTAATGTTATTAGTTTTAAAATAAAATACACTGAAAGCTAGTCACATATTTAGTTTTCACGGTCCATCTGGTTGCCAATAGAAAGAATCAGCATCATGCAACATGCCTAAACATGCGTGTATATGCAAATTTAAGAGTAATATGAATTATTTAATATTGGGAAATTTTATTCACCTGTCACGTACAATTGTTTCAAATGTTGAGCTAATTTAAGAGAACATTCAGATTCACAAAGGCAAGCAAGAAAATGGATGCTGAGCCCTCGTAGAGAATAATCCTTCATTATGCAAGAATCTACTGCATTCATCTTGAGAGGAAGGATTTGTCACAATTACTAATTTGTATCTTCTCTTTCTTCAGTGTTTCTGCCTCTCAAATTCTCCCTGCTGAAACAATACCCATTTCCAAAATCGGTAGGGCACAACTCACAAACATTCAGGACATTTGGACAGGATTGCCCTTTTTTTCAAGGTCACGGACACGAGGAAAGGTGTTTCTCTGGGGCTTGAACAGTGTTAGCATGACAGCAGATGTTTAGAGGTGCAGACGTTGCTGGGCCAGGACTGAGTGCCAGCCCGAGTGGGAAAGGCACCTGTATTTTCTTTAATAATTTACGTTTGTGCAGAGTCTTTTATGCCCAAGTGTCAGAGTGTGAATGCTCCTTTTGCCACATGACCCAGCTCTCACCTGCCATCATCAAAAATAGTTTTCTGTGATCAAAACTTGAACCCACTGATAGGTAACCAGAGACTGTTATTTGGGCGTGGACATAAGATGTTTAACCTAGGTCCACACAGCAAATATTAACAGGAAAGAAAAAAGTAAAACAAAGCAAGAACCACCAAACATCTGAGGAAAATCAACACTTTGAAAGACAGGCACCAAAGGCAACAAATAAGGGAATTAACACTAGGTTACACTGTGTTCATTAGAGGAGAGACAGGCGACAGCCAGATCCTGACAGGCCGTGCTGGTCATGCTAAGGACACTGGACTCTATGTAGCTGTCAGGGGGCCAGTGGAAGTTTCACCAGGGAAGGGCTTCTCATGTTCTTGTTGTAGACAGGTCACGGGCTGCCATGTGAAAAACAGGTTAGAGAGGAATAAGATTAGAGGCAGGAAACTTGTTAATAGTCCAGATGGGAGTTGATAGAAGCCTGAACTAAGGCAGTGGGAGTAAAAATAAAAGAAAATTGTCTGAAAGTACTTAATATATATAATCATTCGAACATAATGACTGACTGGATAAAGAGTAAGAATAAAATCAGTCAAGGGTAATATCCAGTTTTCTGGTATTTTGACTGTCTGGATCATTATGTTACTAACTGATTCAGAAAAAACAGGAGAAACAGATTTGGTTAAAAGTAAAATTTAAAAAATAATAGTCATAACAATAACAGCAAATAATAATAAAGATGGATGACATTTAATGAGTTTCTACTATGTCTCTATGATTCCATTTTATTCTTTAA